GTTATTATTATTGTTATCATTCGCCTGGTGTTGGTAGCGCACGTCTCTAATCCAGCACTGTGGAAGGTAGCGAGGGTTGGTGAATCACCGCACAATGATGTTGGCAAATCACCTTCCCGTGGGCGTCGAGGTGCCATAACCTGACTCGCCAGGAGAAGGCAGTAGAGCAAGTGGACTAATCGCCATCTTCACCTGTACAGGGATAGAGTGTTTCACCCTCGCACGCATGGGTTTTCTCCGGGTACTCCGGTTTCCCCCACTGGTATAAACACTCGTCATTAATTAGCGCATAATGCCTCCATAGAGGACCGCAGAGCTTGGACAATTGTTGGTACTGGCTCACCACGTGGCTTCCTTCCTGCACGGCTGTGGTTCCTCATGCCTCTGAGTCGTTCTTGTGCGCGCTATAAAACTTTTAATTATTACTATTATTCGCCAGGCGGTAGTGTTGCAAGCCTGTAATCCAGCAGTGGAAGGCAGCAAGGGTGAGTAGATCACACAGTGAATGTTGTGAAACCCCCTTCCCGTGGGCATCGAGGTGCCTTCTCCTGGCTGGCTGGCCAGGAGAAGGCAGTACAGAAAGTGGGATAATCGCCATCTTTGCCTGTACGGTTTAAAGTGCTGCCCCTCGTATGCGTGGGTTTTCTCCAGGTGCTCCGGTTTCCCCCACTTGTGTAAGAACTCATCATTCATTCGTCGAAAATGTAAAAAAACAATTCAGGACCCGACTGTGGCTTGTACTGCGAGGAACTTAATATTCAACTTGGATTCCGCAACCCTCAATGGCCATTTTAAGTTAAATTTGTGCATGTAAGACTCGCACAAACAACCATACCCAGAAACCCATAGACCCCAACAGAGACCCATACATTCCTACAGACACTCAGACTCACACAGCGACCCCATACTAACAGAGACCGATAAACATGCACAGAGACCCATAGCCTCACACAGAGATCCATACACTCAAAGGCCCAAAAACTCACACAGAAATCCATAGATTCTCGCAGAGGTCAATAGAATTTGAATATTTATTTATACTGGATGAATCAGATGAGCTATAACGATCTGTTTTCACAGACGTCCAATCGGGTAGGTCAGAAAATAACAAAAATACAATACAAAAACATCACAGGAAAGGTAAACAAATTGTTTCGAAATATACAAATTAAACTGAACTCTTTTTATATTACCATAGACTCATGCAAACATGTTGGACTCGCACAGAGACCTTAACCACTAAACCTCGAACAATTAAAACACTCTAAACCCAAAACTATCTAAATCCATAACCATCTAAACCGCTAACCCTCTCAACCTCTTTACCCTTACAACCCTAATCTTTAAACCCCTCGCCTTCTAAAAGCTTAACCTCTAAACCCCCAAAACTCTAACCATCTCAACCCCTAACCCTCTAAATTCCTATACCCCTAACCCTCAACCCCTTTACCCTTCAAATCCTAACCCACCAAAACCCTCACTCTCTAAACCCCGTATTCTTTTAACCCTAACCATCTAAGCCAATAAAAACCAAACCCTCTAAACCCTCTGAATCCCTAACCCTCTAAACCTTGAAACCCTAACCTTCTAAAACCCTAAATCCCTAACCTATTCTAAATACCAACCAATTTAAACCATAACCCTCTAAAGAACTAACCCTCTAGACCCAACCCTCTGAACTCATAACCTCCTAAATCCTCAACCTCTAAAACCCTAATTCTCAAAACCCTAACGTTTTAAAACCCTCAATCCGTAACCTAATCCCAACACATTTAAACCCCAACCCTCTAAAGAACGAACCCTCTAGACGCCTAACCCTTAAAACACCTATGCCCCTAAAATGCTAACCCTCTAAACACATAATTCACTAAACCCGTAACCCTCTGAACCCATAAAGGTTTGTTTTGTTAGATTTTGTAAATATAAACGTGTCGTTAAACCAATCACCACCCGAAACAGCCAATTAGTAAAATTTGTCGCATCAACAAAAAGTGGCATTTAGTGTTTGAGACTAACCAAAAAAAAACTTTATTATGGACAATATTAGTTGTGAAAGTCTAGGTGTTAAACCCTCAACTCTCAAACCACTTACACAGTAAATCCCTAACCCTTGAAACCCCGATACCTCTAAACCCCTAAACACATACCCTTATAACCTCTTCAACTACTAACCATTCAACCTCCAACAATCGAAACCCCTAATCCCCTAAACATCAAAACCTCTAAACCCCTAACCCTCTAAAACCCATAACCTTGTAAACCAATACACCGAGCAATCAAAACCCATGAACCCTCTAAACCTCTAAACACCCAACTCTCTAAACCCTGAACCCTCTAAATCCATAACCTTATAAACTCTAATCAAATGAAAAAAAACCTCAACACCCTTTACCCTTAAAACCCTATCCGTCTAAACTCACCCTTTGAAATCCTAACCCAAATACACAGAAAACCCTAACCCTCTAAACCCCTCATGAGGCGATCCACATATACAAACACAGAGACAATTTCAACCGAGAAGATGGATTATGGCTTAGCAATCATTGGAAGGACGTAATAAACCATTTCGGATCTTAACTGATTGTGTTCACGTTTACGGTGACTTTCAGACCGCGTTCCACTCACTGGCATTGTATTCTCCACAGGGAATGGATTCTTTGCTCCACTGCAAGTTTCCCCTCACTACTCACCCATTGACACAACGGTCAATGGTACAGTGTATAATAACAAATAGTATAACATTTATATGCTTAATACAATGTACAAAGTAATATATAGTATCGTAATTGTATAGTAAATATATAGCAGTGTGATACACATTAGGGTGGGGACAGTATTACATAATACATTGGATTGATCCTATTGATCCTATCTCCTATTGATCCTATCTCTGAACAAAGTTAGTCTGTTGGCAGCAGCCATTGTCCAGTCCAGTCCTGGCATCTGCAGCCCAGTTTCCTTCCCCGGCTGCGGTCCCAGTGACACCGTCTTTCCGGGGAACCGTGTGGTTTGTGTGGTGTGTGTGGTGTGTATGGTGTGAGTGGTGTGTGTGGTGTGAGTGGTGTGAGTGGTGTGTGTGGTGTGAGTGGTGTGAGTGGTGTGTCTGGTGTGTGTGGTGTGTGTGGTGTGAGTGGTGTGTGTGGTGTGAGTGGTGTTATATGGTTTATAGCAATACAGTATATAATTTAATGTTGGGTTTGTCTATGGCAGTATATAGTACGGTGTAGACTCGTGTGATGTAAGAGAATAAAGTTTAGATGGAAGCATATTATATAATTTTTACGACGTAGAATTGTAATGTATTACTTACTGTTAGTAACTCAGCTTATTGTAGAGTATAGTAAGTATACTGATGATACTATGTGGTTTATACTTTAGTTGTTTACGTGTTGGTTTTAGTTGCTGCAACTACATACTGTTAACACTCTTTCCCTTTATTAATGCTACCCCTATCTCCTCCCTTTGATGCTGAATTAGTACTATTCACATACCTGCATTTCCCATATCCTCTCCCTTTGATACTGCTAATCTTGCATAATGCACAGGCATAAGTAGTACTAATCACATTCCTGCATTTCCCATGGAAATGCTAAATTCCTCTTGATATGCAAATTCCTTTGTCAAGGCGCCCAGCTTATATATGCTCCAAGCTCGTGTGCTGTTTCATTCAGACGCTGTCGCCTCGACAGACCTGGTTTTCACCTGAGAACGGCTGCTTGCGTTGTGGCCGAAACGTCGTGAGAATGATTTTATTATGTTTTATTATTTTATTATTTTATTACTTCCCTTCTACGTGACTTTACCGAAAGAACCAAGAAGATGAATCCCTGCAGTCACGAAAGCTTTAAATCTGAGTGCTCCTAATCTCAGCTTGTTACCTGTATAAAAGACACCTGTTCACAGAAGAAATCAATCAGATTCCAAACTCTCCACCAAGGCCAAGACCAAAGAGCTCTCCAAGGATGTCAGGGACAAGATTGTAGACCTACACAAGGCTGGAATAGGCTACAAGACCATCGCCAAGCAGCTTGGTGAGAAGGTGACAACAGTTGGTGCGATTATTCGCAAATGGAAGAAACACAAAATAACTGTCAATCTCCCTCGGCCTGGGGCTCCATGCAAGATCTCACCTCGTGGAGTTGCAATGATCATGAGAACGGTGAGTAATCATCCCAGAACTACACAGGAGGATCTTGTCAATGATCTCAAGGCAGCTGGGACCATAGTCACCAAGAAAACAATTGGTAACACACTACGCCGTGAAGGACTGAAATTCTGCAGCGCCCGCAAGGTCCCCCTGCTCAAGAATGCACATATACATTCCCGTCTGAAGTTTGCCAATGAACATCTGAATGATTCAGAGGACAACTGGGTGAAAGTGTTGTGGGCAGATGAGACGAAAATGGAGCTCTTTGGCATCAACTCAACTCGCCGTGTTTGGAGGAGGAGGAATGCTGCCTATGACCCCAAGAACACCATCCATAAAAGGACGTCGGGTCCCGGGGTCCCAGGGTCCCAGGGTCCTAGCCTAGCCGGTCTTCAGTCGTCGTCTTCAGAGCACTGCCTCGGGCCGTCCTAAAGTCCGTCTTTTATATCCACCTCGGGGACTCTCCACCCTCGGTACCGCCCCCTTTCTGGAACCTTCCAGGTGGCTCTGGAATAACCCTCCAACCCCTCACCTGGGGTCGGGGGGGGGGGAACACGGCCTCTCAACGGTCCCGGTTCTCTCTTTAACTCACGGTGGCAGGCCCTGCAGACTCGTGCCCGCAACTACAGGTAAGCATACAGTGTGGTGTGTGCTTTGCATTTCCGACGCGACATATACAGCAAGAAATACTCTACATAGAGAGAGCATGGCATCTGTGTGTGTGTACTGCATGACACACGGTGTACGGTGTGTAGTGCACAGTGATGGGCTGCTGCTGCTGCACCTGTTGACGTTGATGTCGGGGCAGGCAGAGTCCTCGCTCCGGGTCCCGGTGGCGTTGCTCCGGGGGAACGTGCAGAAGAAGGCGTTGGCCAGGAGGCAGGCGGCCTGCTCCTGAGACATCGTCAGCATCAAGCCGGTGTCCCGGCGGAGCAGCGGCAGGGGCTGGGGACACGAGCGGTGCACAGGGCGCAGCGACATTACACGCGGCAACGGGTGGCACGGGGTTGCAGAGGAGCAACGGTGCAATGGTAACACCGATGCAGATCACTGAGCCTGCAGCACTGGGATGCTGGGGTCTGGATCAAGGAGTTCTGAAATGCACGTAAACCAGATTATTGTTGTACACGTGAGGTTAATGGTTCAGCCCTGCAATTACTTGCTCATGCAACTGCTGGTGAAAGAACCCCCACTAGAGGGAGGTCTTGAGTGCTGATCCGGTGGGTATGTTTTGGCCAACTTTTCCACACTGACCATTCGTCTTGAAAGAGGTGAGAGTACTCGCCATTTAGCCCACTGCACGCGACCCACCGATGGACTGTGGGTGGACAAAAACAGGGAATTGTAAGAATCCTGGTCAATGTTTTCAAGGCCAGGCTGGGAGATCGAACCGCGACATTTTAAGTCAATCGTGACAACCATTCCACAGTCATGGCAGCAGCCCTTTTGCAGAAATCAAATAAAATATTGGAGAGGGCTTCACACAAGAAACAAGAAGATTTATTGGTTTGGACGCGGCTCTCCAATGAGTACAGAGAGGGTACCACAAGTAGCGGTGCATACTCATGCGCAAGGAAATAAAAGCAGAGACAAAGAATGAGATAGATCGATGCAATAAAGAATTGGCAGTGGTGCACCAAGCACGATCCCTTGCTGAGCGTATCGCGCCTCGTGCACACAGACAGCACCAAACACGACCCCTTGCTGAGCGCTGCAGTAGTAGCCGCTCCCCCCCATCCCCGGACCCCTCCCCCCACCCTCCACCCTCCACTTCTCACCCTGACGCCACACAACCCGTGGGTAGGCGCTGCCCTCTGGTGGACAAGGCGCGGTACAGGCGGCAGCACGAGACGCCAGCAGCGTTGCGATGCCAGGGTTACTCACCCAAACACCTCCGTACACTTACACACACACACACCTATACACACTTACACACACCTACACACACACCTCTACACACTTACACACCTACACACACCTCTATACACTTACACACACCTACACACACCTATATACACTTACACACACCTACACACACACCTCTACACACTTACACACCTACACACACCTCTATACACTTACACACACCTACACACACACCTATATACACTCACACACACCTACACACACCTCTATACACTTACAACAACAACAACCGCCATTCGCCACTAAGTGGCGGTGACGTCACCACGATGCTTGTGCCAGGCCAAGTGCACCTTGAGGCCACGTGAAGTGTCGAACGCCCGCTGGCAGGAGGTCACGGGGCAGACCCAGGTGCCACGGGTCGACTGACTGAGATGACCGAGATGACTGGCTGATGCACCACCTGTGCCCCCTACTGTACCAACTTGCTGTGATTTAGCCACCCGGCGCTCCGCTCGTTGTTGTGAGCGTCGCTCCACACCATCTACCCACCCCGTGATACACACCACACACACCACAAACACCACACACACCACTCACACCACACACACCACTCACACCACAAAAACCACTCACACCACACACACCACTTACACCACACACTCCACACACACCACACACACCACTCACACACACAGCACACACACCACAAACACCACACACACCACTCACACCACACACCACACAAACCACTCACACCACACACCACTCACACCACACACACCACACACACCACAAACACCACTCACACCACACACAACACAAACACCACACACACCACACATACCACACACACCACATAAACCACTCACACCACACACACCACACACACCACTCACACCACACACACCACACACACCACACGCACCACATGCACCACACCATCTACCCACCCCGTGATACACACCACACACACCACAAACACCACACACACCACTCACACCACACACACCACTCACACCACACAAACCACACAAACCACTCACACCACACACACCACTCACACCACACACACCACACACACCACAAACACCACACACCACACACACCACTCACACCACATAAACCACTCACACCACACACACCACTCACACCACACACACCATATACACCACACGCACCACATGCACCACACCATCTACCCACCCCGTGATACACACCACACACACCACAAACACCACACACACCACTCACACCACACACACCACTCACACCACACACACCACACAAACCACTCACACCACACACACCACTCGCACCACACACACCACACACACCACACACACCACACACACCACTCACACCACACACACCACAAACACCACACACACCACTCACACCACACACCACACAAACCACTCACACCACACACCACACACACCACACACACCACAAACACCACTCACACCACACACACCACAAACACCACACACACCACATAAACCACTAACACCACACACACCACTCACACCACACACACCACACACCACACGCACCACTCACACCACACACACCACACACACCACAAACACCACACACCACACACACCACTCACACCACATAAACCACTCACACCACACACACCACTCACACCACACACACCATACACACCACACGCACCACATGCACCACACCATCTACCCACCCCGTGATACACACCACACACACCACAAACACCACACACACCACTCACACCACACACACCACTCACACCACACACACCACACAAACCACTCACACCACACACGCCACTCGCACCACACACACCACACACACCACACACACCACCCACACCACACACACCACAAACACCACACACACCACTCACACCACACACCACACAAACCACTCACACCACACACCACACACACCACACACACCACAAACACCACTCACACCACACAAACCACAAACACCACACACACCACACACACCACATAAACCACTAACACCACACACACCACTCACACCACACACACCACACACACCACACGCACCACATGCACCAGACCATCTACCCACCCCGTGATACACACCACACACACCACACACACCACACACACCACTCATACCATACACACCACTCACACCATTCACACCACACACACCACACACACCACTCACACCACACACACCACTCACACCACTCACACCACACACACCACTCACACCACATACACCACTCACACCACACACACCACACACACCAGACACACCACTCACACCACTCACACCACACACACCACACACACCACTCACACCACACACACCACACACACCACACACACCACTCACACCACACACACCACTCACACCATTCACACCACACACACCACACACACCACTCACACCACACACCCCACTCACACCACTCACACCACACACGCCACTCACACCACACACACCACTCACACCACACACACCACACACACCAGACACACCACTCACACCACTCACACCACACACACCACTCACACCACACACACCACTCACACCATACACACCACACACACCACACAAACCACACGGTTCCCCGGAAAGACGGTGTCACTGGGACCGCAGCCGGGGAAGGAAACTGGGCAGCAGATGCCAGGACTGGACTGGACAGTGGCTGCTGCCAACAGACTAACTCTGTTCAGAGATAGGATCAATAGGAGATAGGATCAATAGGATCAATCCAATGTATTATGTAATACTCTAACAACTACAGGGGCATATCACTCTTCAGTGTGCCGGGAAAGGTCCTGGCAAGGATTATACAACATCGCCTTGCTAGGCACGCTGAGGAGAGGCTTGCGGAGCCCCAATGCGGTTTCAGGAAAAGGCGGTCCTGCACGGATGCCATATTTTCTGTCCGTCTGCTACAGCAGAGGTGTAGGGAATTCCAACAAAACCTACATCTCTGCTTTATTGACCTGGTCAAAGCCTATGATACCATCAGTAGGCCTGGGCTCTGGGTTGTTCTTCGTGCTTTCGGAGTCCCTGACCCTCTGCTCACGCTCATTAAGGACCTTCATGATGGTGAGCGGGCCTGGATAAAACTACGTGGCCGGGAATCAGAGCCTTTTCCTGTACACCTTGGGGTGCGATAGGGATGTCCTCTGGCTCCCACATTATTTAACATCTATTTTGACCACGTAGTTCGTGAAGCCTTCAATAGCTGTGCTGGGGGAATTTCCATTTGGTACAGATATAATGGGAGGCTGATCGATGCCCGGGTGCGATCAAGAGATGGCTCCCTATTGGTCAACCCCGTTATGCATTCCGATGATTTGGTAATAGCTGCTCATTCAGAGGAGGAGTTGGAGACGCTGCTGCTGAGACTGGAGCGTGCCACTAAGAGGTGGGGCCTTACCATCAGCCCCACCAAAACTAAGCAACTGTCTGGGTATTTTGTACCATCGGGCACTCCACCCCCACAACTCCCAATCAGTGATAGGGCAGTAGTGGAGAGAGTGGAGAGTTTCCCATACCTGGGCAGTGTGTTCATGACCGGCTCCAGTTTAACAGCAGAGGTCTCACTCCGAATCAGTCGAGCGGCAATATCTTTTCATCGGTTGCGTGACGCTGTGTGTAAGCTACCCGGTCTGTCGCTCCGCACAAAGCTTCAGGTCTTCTCGGCCACAGTAATTCCCTCCCTTCTCTATGCTTGCGAAACGTGGACCCTCCTAATGGAACATCTTCGTCGGTTGGAAACATTTAGGCTGGCCTGCCTACGATCCATCCTGGGTTTAACCAGGCTGGATTGTGTGAGGAGCTCACAAATCCTTGAAAGATCTGGGCAAAGTCCCATCGATGAGCTCCTCCGGCAGGCAAGGCTGCGGTGGCTGGGTAATGTAGCCCGCATGCCCAGCCATCGCATGCCTAAACAGCTTTTTTTCGGCCGGATCGAGGGGGCTAAACGGGCGCGGCACGGTTAAAGAAGAGATGGAGTGATGTGGTACAGGAGGACGTGGAGCTGAGTGGACTTGCCGATGATTGGTACCAGCGGTGTCAAGATCGGCCTTTGTGTAGGAGGCTCGTGAAGGACGCTACTGGGCAGTTGGAGGCAGTCGCCCTCCAACAACAACGGAGGGATGGAGGAGCGACGCTCACAACAACGAGCGGAGCGCCGGGTGGCTAAAGCATAGCAAGTTGGTACAGTAGGGGGCACAGGTGGTGCATCAGCCAGTCATCTCTGTCATCTCAGTCAGTCGACCCGTGGCATCTGGGTCTGTCCCGTGACCTCCTGCCAGCGGGCGTTCGACACTTCACGTGGCCTCAAGGTGCACATGGCCTGGCACAAGCGTCGTGGTGACGTCACCGCCACTTAGTGGCGAATGGCGGTTGTTGTTGAGTGTATAGAGGTGTGTGTAAGTGTATATAAGTGTGTGTGTGTATGTGTGTGTAAGTGTATAGAGGTGTGTGTGTAAGTGTATAGAGGTGTGTGTAAGTCTATAGAGGTGTGTGTATGTGTGTGTAAGTGTATAGAGGTGTGTGTAGGTGTGTGTAAGAGGTGTGTGTGTAGGTGTATAGAGGTGTGTGTAGGTGTGTGTAAGTGTATAGAGGTGTGTGTAGGTGTGTGTAAGTGTATAGAGGTGTGTGTAGGTGTATAGAGGTGTGTGTGTAAGTGTATAGAGGTGTGTGTGTAGGTGTGTGTAAGTGTATAGAGGTGTGTGTGTAGGTGTGTGTAAGTGTATAGAGGTGTGTGTGTAGGTGTATAGAGGTGTGTGTGTAAGTGTATAGAGGTGTGTGTGTAGGTGTGTGTAAGTGTGTAGAGGTGTGTGTGTAGGCGTGTAGAGGTGTGTGTAGGTGTGTGTAAGTGTATAGAGGTG